TTGTGTCATGGCAGATCTCACCTAACTTTGGTTGTGCCATGCCGCATGTTTCAAAGAAAGGTGCACTAACGCATCCACTAAGAGCTGCCACTTGATTTGGGATGGAATTTGCCCCGACTAATGATGTGTAGGGAAATTCTGCGGAGCAAATGCCCGAGGGACATTCAAAGACGCTATCGTCAATCCGTGCGATTCGATGTTTTTTCAGTAGTTCCCGAGTCTTTGGAAAATGCCTGTCGGCATACTCCAAACTGACCGAATCTAATTCCAAGAATATGATATTGATGTTGTCCAAGTGAGCCGAATTACCAATCCTTTTCTTCGAACGATGAGTCAGAACTCTGTTGCGGACGATGCCGATTTCAAGATGGATAGATTGGCCCGGACAATCGACAAGAATGAACGTCTCTTTAAACCTTCGGATCTTGGGGTTTTTGCTATCCCATGGATGTTCGTTACATGGAGACCAGGGGCTCATGTTTGTTGCACATTGGCACCCTTTAACAACCAGAGCTCGTTTCATCGGGGTGTCATCGGACGATTTGACAAGCCGAAACTTCTGTTCTTTTGGTATATCCGCGTAAAATGATAGAATAGAGGGCGGTGCAATAAGCTCGTCCATAGCAAGTGTGCGTTTCTCCACGACATTGCGAAGGGGTGCATCTGTGGTTGCAACGGCAGCGTCTAGCCTAAGGTGGCGTTGCACTGCCTTCTCTATGTCTTCGATGTCTCTGGCGGTTAGTATCGATTGCATAAAGTAATTCAAGTCCCAAACGAAAGTGCTGTTTCCCCCCTCCTTCAATTTTGTCATRCCATGRTTGTATTGGCCAGTTTTCAAGAAAAGTACAGGCTGTCGTTCATTGTCACTATAAATTGCAACAATAGTGTTGGACCATTCCTCCGATGACATTTCAGACGCGAGACTTGATAGAAAAGCAATGATTGGAAGCTTCAGTGTACCTACAAGAGTCTCGGATTCTTCTTCCCCGTCTACAAGAGTTATGTATGCCGCCCATTTTTCTCTTTTATCTATTTTCGTTCTTATGAATTCTTCGACGTGATCCAAGAGATGCGTCGCAGCATGCCTGCCAAATAGACAATTGGGACGATCGTAGTCAAAACAAAACATACCGCTTATTTGACTACCGTGATGCGGGTGTACCAGCTCGTCATCTGTAARGCCATCCAGGAGCGTTTGGCGGTCGCATCGATTGATTCCACGGTATCTCTGGTGCCCACCGATATCGGAACCATTACTACCTTCCGACACTGAGCTCCACCACGCTGTAGAATTCCACCCATTGTTTGATATCAATGGTGAAACACGCTCCAGTCCAACATTTTTCAGTTCCGTTTCGAAGCCAGACAGAGAGAGATTCAGCATATTATGGTGGACACCTCTGAGTTCGATTGCCAACAGGTTTGGTCCGCGTTTCTCATTGTCATCGGCGGTTACGGGGGTGTGAATCTTGCTTTCTGAAAATATTCGATCGGGTAGGATCCGGGTGGAGCACTTGCCTTCGACGGCTGTATTTCGAATAGTACCCGCATCGGTGGAGTCATCCCCATCCGGTGTTGTGMGTTTCGTGCATCTCAGGCATGCGGCTTCCGAGAGAGAAAGGTTTGTGTGGCTGTGCCAGAGTTCGACAAACAAACTCGCACCGCGTTCCTCTTCCGTTGAGAGCACGATGGTAGTATTTGTCTCTTGTACCGATACCTTCCTTCCGAAGCAGGAAAGTTGCAACTCGTCGTCGTCGTCGTCCTCGCTGTCGTTGTGACCACCGCCGGTGCCATCGACGCTCGTTCCATAACCGGCAAACYGTGCATCGTTGCGGAATCGAAGGGTGGCCATCGTTTCACGATCGGGACACTCCGTGAACGGAATCCCCTCCTTTTCAATGTCCACCACGTGGTCGTTTTTGCGATCGGTCGTGTTCAGAAACTCCCTCCGGGACGGGATCGCCAGGTCGAGTCCTCGCGTGGCAAACAAGATCGAGTGAAACACGCRATTGCCACCATCKTTGCTTCTGCGGGCGTGGTTTTCTTTCGTGGCCAATGCCACGCCGAACACCAGGAATTCTTCGACGTCCCCCTGGTTCTTCAAGAGCGTATTGGGACCGTAGGGGTTGAGCCCATCGGTGGGAGCGTGGGACGACGACAGGACCTGGAGCTTGTACCCTTCCCCGCGAAACAAGCGGAACGTCTCGATCCCCCGCATGGTCGTGGCATCGCCCGAGCCGCCGGTGGCGGAGGAGATCCGGAAGGTTGCGTACTCGATCGATCCGTTCCGAACGGAATCTTCCCATGCGGGCGGGACCGCGTAATCTTCTCGTCCCYGATCCGGGTCAAAGACGGCCAGCAGTACGCTGCGGTCCGTCCCACGGTGGTTCTCGGTCGCGCCGGATCCCGGGTGGTAGTCGAAGGTGGCCCCCGTGTCCGGGTCCACCGCGATCACCCCGTGGGGACCGTTGCCAAAGACGCTCTCTACCAGAAAGGAGGGACCGATCCGGTATCCGAATCGTCGGTGGATCGCGTGCTTGTGGTCCGCACCGGCATCACTAGATTCCCCCGCCTCGCCGAGCAAGCCCGAGAGCTGCCGGTTGGCACCGGGAGACACCACGAGGATCGTCGAGAGCGGTGGGTCGGTCGGTGCCGACCCATGGGAACGCTTTGCTCGTTGCCGGAGCCGCCGCTGCTGGTCGGACACCGGCGAGAGGAACCGCCTCGAAAGGTCGCGCATGACGTATCCAAAGAGCGACGAGCGGTTGGATCCGGGAAGGTACCCGGGAATCCTCGAAGCATCCCATTCCARCAAGATGTCCGGGGGAGAATCATCCGGTGGTGGTTGTAGTGGTCGTYGTTGTTGTTGCTTTGTGATGAAAAAGTCCCCTCCGGCAATCGTCTCGTACAGCAGGACCTCGGGAAAACTGCGGRTGTTGGCGTTGTACAAAATGTGGAATCCAACAAGATAGAGCAAGCACGCCCCAATGGCGAATCGTGCGTGTTTTGCCTTCACGAGCCGCCGYCTTGTCCCGGATATCCCTTCCTGCTGGATGGGTTTTTGTGGTTCGTTCATCTCTCAAGCAAGAGGCAGCCGCACAGGAAACTCCGCTGCGTTGTGCTGTAGATAGCCAACCCGGTGCCGGCAATAGAGAGGTATGGTGTGCAACATTCCTTGTGCTTCCTGAGCAAAAACAACAACAAAAAACTGCTTTTTCTTGACAGGTCACATGGGTACAGCTAGTCTTCGTTTACGGGCAACAGTGCGAGTACTCCTACTACTGGTGTCCACTTCGCGCCACTTTCCTTCTCCCACGGTACCGTACGTACGTACTGTACCGCAGAGGCAATACTATTTTGGTGTTTGATCGTCACGAAGGACATTCACTACGATACCCTAATACGGTACGAAAAGTAGTATGACGTCTACGAAGGTTCGATCTGTCCATAAATCCATAAACTAGTTTTGCTTCGTAAAACCTTGCTCGTCGGATCTGTTTCCGCTCGGTGAAAACGCAAGACAGGCGCAACACACGGGTCCTGTTGGATTGGATTGGATTGGATTCTATTCTATTCTATTGGCACATTGTTTCGCGCATTGCTCTGCCATCCGCGTCACGGCGGGACCTGGATCCGATACCTCGGACAGATCTTGTCCAATCCCAGCAGGGATTCCATCCGTTTCACGGTTTCCGCGCAGGCTTCGTCGCCGTGTTGTTCTGGTTTTGGTTCTCGCCCCCGCCGCGACCCGGCCTTCTGGCAAACCCCCGTCGTAACGGCCACACARAACTCCCCGCCCCTGGMCTCCCCCTTTTGGGCAAACACGTAGTCCCGCCGCAGGTCCAGCGGGCCGTCCTCCGCAAAGCAGGCCACGCTTCCGATGCAGTTCCGCTCCCGGAGGGTCCTCCACTGCCCGCCGTAGCCAAAGTAGACGCCGCTCCGCAGGGAATCCATGGCGGTCGAGGTCAGGACCACCCCGCAGGGCGAGTGCTCCACCAGGTCGATGTTGTCGGTCGGGCAGAGCGACGATCCGTGCAGGACGTCGCAGTCCATCTCGGACAGGYGCCTCGGAACCGTCCGGCACGAGTTSCCCTGGACAAAGTCCAGSGACAAAAGGGGGCCGGCAYCGTTGGCCTTGCCGTTGGTKTGTTTGTGGCGCGAGGCGTCTTCGTTCGCGTTGGTGTCGTTCAGGTGGTGCCAGATCGGGAGCTGGTACGGTCGGTCGAACTTGTCGAAGGAAACCACCCTTCCCCGCGAGGGGTGGTCCCCGGCCGCGTCGGCCAGTGCCTCCCGAAAGAGCGCCATCGAGTGCCCCGATCCGAACCCCGTTTCGCAAACGGTGGTCCYCCGTGGCTCCTTTCTTCCGTTCTTGTAGCGGACGATGCGCCGGATGAGTCCGGTCAGGATGGAGGACTGGTGGGGGTAGAGRAATATCCCCCCGGACACCCTTGCCTTTGGAAAGTTCCGCTCTACGGTGGAGTCGATGAGCTCCCAGTGGCGGCGGACCGCCGAGCTGTTTCCAAAGACYGTGGTTTCGGTGTCCGCTCCGTTCGTGTTTCTGTCGTTGGTTTCGTCGTCGCACAGGTACCTGTGATGGGCATCGCCGTTGGCACCGCCGTAGGTTTCGAAGGGTTCGGCAAGGGGGAGTGCCCACCCGCTGCCACCGGCCGCAACCCCGGCGCTCCGGTACACCACCACCAGGGCGTGGCAAAGCGCGCACAGGGGAAGAACCACCCCGAAACAGACCAAGGCGCTCGTGCCGGCCCTCCGCGGTGGTGGCCTCCGCGGGAGGTGCCGGGCCGACCGCTCGGGAGGGGCCGTCGTTCCCCGCCCGCCCGCGGCCCGGCCCCCGGGTCTCATCATCGTCCCGTTGCGTTGCGTTGCGTTGCCGCCCGCCTCCTCGTTTCGGCCGAGAGCCGGTTCTACGGTACCAGAAAGTATAGTGCGCGGCCGGAAGGAAGAATCAGTCCCAATGGTTCTGGTCCATTATCCTTCACCGAATCATGGCCGTGGGGTTTTCGATCAAGCAGGGCCTCGGATCTGTTCTCCTCCTGTAGTGTGCAGTGTTTGTACGGTACGGCGCTGTTTTTCGTGCTTCTTTTGTTGCCGTTCCAAATGGATTGACTGTTTAGGTGGTGTGCATTCATCGTCCGGCGTACTGGTACGATGCGACACGTTCTCTCCGGTTGTGAAAATCGAAAGTCTCTTCTGATCTCTTCTGATATCCCTCCTACCGGTACCGTACCGCCCGTACCCTGACGTAGATGTACACTACGTTACGCATCGTACCGCGAACGGTGCAGTAAGAGTCACACGTCTTTACCGTAATGCACTGTACTGTACAGTACTACTTTGAAACACTCTCGGCCTGCGCGCAAAAAGRTYTTTTGAAAACACGATAGTTCCGATTGTGACTGACTCGAAAAAGTTTCTGTGAGGCTTCCTTCGGGGACGTTGACTAGTACCGTACGGTACSTAGACCAACAGTACGTAATGTACCTTGGTAGGTACGAGGCTGTCATTGTTGATGTTCTCGTGTGTCAAAAGATGAACCAACGACGATTCAAAATCCAAAAACGGAGGCAAGTCTTTGCGAAAGCACGAGTTCCCGTTTCTTCTACCGGTAGAAATCCGAAAGGAATACGGTTGTACACTAGTACTGTAGTACCCTATCGGTAACAAAAGTCTATCTCTCTATTTCGGCATGACTTTAGCCAGGAACTCATGCTTTGCTCGTTCAGTAATTGAGGTGGCAGCAGAAATCAGTACGCTTGTCGACTCCCAACAGTTCGAAAAATGAAAAGTGCATGATAAAGTGTAGAATTGGAAAGAATTGTTGCCCTCGTAATAAATAATGAACTATTCATGCCGCTGTTTAATGTTGTAATTCGAGTACAATTCCACRAATAGATGTTTTCCTTTGTTTGCGCCTTCGTCTGCGTGTTGCGTGTTCACTCTGGTATGCCGCAGTGACATTGCACTGCAGTATGTCTTCCGGGGACAATCTACAGCGGAGGATTCGGTTTGATTCGAATCGTTTCGCTTCGTCTTTGGCTTACCATCCCAGGGCCACCATCGCTGCCAAGGACGACACCGTGGCCACCGAGGCGCCGACTCCCATCGAAGCACCGCTCGAGGCGGTGGGGGCCTCCGTGTCGGAGGAGTCGGAGACACCAATGGGAGCGCCCGACGGCGCCTTCGACGYGCTGATCGCCGGCAGCTCGTACGTTGGAGACGGCGWGGCCTCGACGGGAGCAACCGTGGGGGGGAGGGGCTCGCCGGAAACCTCGTCTTCGTCCTCCTCCTCCGGGACAAAGGTGGCGCAGTCGAGGGAGCAGCCCGCGATCAGGTCCGTCACGTTCTGGGAGAGGTCGGCCCCGGCGCTCGTGATGGTGCACCGGAAAAAGTCGTTCGCCTCCTGGCCGCAGGGAGGGCACCGCGAGGTGATGGGGCAGAGGGCGGCCTCGACGACTTCGCACGAGGTGATTTCGTCCTCGCTGGGGATCGCCGCCAGCTCGTCCTCGGTCGGGAGGAGGGTGAGGCACAGGTTGGACATGGCRCAGGGGAGGACATCCTTCTCGAGCTGGCCCATGCAGTCGGCCGGAAAGAAGTCGAGGAGGCCTTCCGGAACCAGGGAGAGGGCCATGCCRTCCGGGAGTTGCTGGGCGCTTACCGCCGGGGGGGACGAGAGCCACAGGGCCAGGAGGGGTGCGAGGCGGGACGAGAAAGGAGGCATGGTGGGTGGAGTAGAGTGTTGTATGTGTGTTGAGGGAATGGTGTTTGTCTTGCGGTGGATTGCCGAAGGGCACTTGCGCAGCAGGAGGAGAAAAAAGAATGTTTGTGACACAACGCATCCGATGCGTAGGAGTATGACTACTATTAGTAGTACTGTACTTACTCACGGAAGTGGAATAAAACAGGTATGCACGACTATCGTACTGTATCGTACCTTACGGAAGTTTCAGTACGTACAGATTCGTAGGTACAGTACGTATGCCAAAATTTACAGAAGAAGATTTTTAATTTGTAGAGCATGTACCGTACGTACTGTACTACAGTACTTCGTATTATTTTTTTAAAAGACCATCGCGCGGGGCGAGATTCAAAAGACAAAGATCGAAAAGTAGCTGTATCCCGCGCAAACAACAGATCAATCGATAGTTCGAACGACACGTTAAGAGTACCATACGGTACTCCCCTTTTGTCAGGGTGGTTCGAAAGTTTTGAGACAAAAACGCATTTATGTTCCGTTAGTGAGGCCCAACCCCAACCCCAACYATTTCTGGCTCGAGAGACAAAATGATCTTAGGTATTAGCTTCKGTCGGAAAAGTGGCACGAGACTTTTGAATTTTAAAAACTAATCAGCATCACTTTTCCACCTTCTTTCTTCCAGCAATGCTTCTTCAGCCACGAGAAGGCAAAACCAGAAACAAGGAGTCAAAAAGAATCTGGAAAAAGGGGGGGGGGGAAAGGCATCAAATTAAAAACAATGGGAACACAGGAATTATATTTTGTCGAAAACTTGCGCGACTTTCCCAAAAGCTTTTCCACAATTTTTTTTCGATCGATTAGTATTTCAGTTTCGACTATTCCACGTTACGAACCGATTATCCCAAAAATTCCCGTCCGTCCTTCATCATACAGAATGTCGTCATTCGGTTGAAGTCAATCATGTTGTTCGTCGTGTTCTTTGTTTCATACGGTACCGGTACAAAAACATATCGTACTGTACTAGGTACCGTACCGCACCGCACAGTACCGTACAACACACCACCTACRTTACTATGCGTGCTTGGTAGTATGGGCATCGTACAATACAACATCTACTATTCCGCTTCCCTTCTTTGTTCGTCGTAGTTCCCCAAGTAATAGAAGGCTACAGTACATCTTTGCGATCCCTCCGGAGATCGGCAGCTATCGATAGGTCTCWATCAACAAGCCATCGTCGATTCGATACATACAGAAACACATTCACATCATGATAAAGCACAGTCATCTCCATGCCTTTTCGAAGCGAAAACGACGAGTCGTAGGCATCGAATGCCTGCCATCAGGCGACGAAAAGCGGGCGGAGATTCTTCCATTCTGTCGCAGTCACAGGAAATGCAGACAGCGAGAAGGGACACCGTCAGTCTTGGTGAGCAAACGCCACTCTSCACGCCGAATGGTGACCTGCTTTTTCTTTTGTACCTTCGTGGTCTGGTCGAATTGCTGCTACGTCTTCGTCGCAGCGTTTTTCGTTTCGCCGAGGTCCATGGCGCAAAAGACCATGGCAATTCTTGCCAGCGAGGACGACGGGATGCCCGGTTCCATMACATCGAGGCGGAGACGCACAAGAAACCACGGTTGGCGGCAGCGCACAATACTCCAGCAATCATCATCTTCACCTTCCTCCTCCTCGTCGTCCACGACACCGCCGTTGTCCGCGCAACCGCAATCCTCCAAGAATTTCGCGCAATCCGTTTTGTCGTCGCCGTCCGCCGCACACTTTGCCTTTGCCGACTCTTTTCGAAACATTCTTGCCAGCAAACGAACCAGTCARCAATACCGGCAGCGCTTTGTAACGGGAAGGTTTCCAGTGATCGTGACGGTGGAAGAAGACAATCCCAACCGCCGCTGGCTCAACCTTGGTCGCCGGATGCAGCTCCAACCGGGACAGCAAGGGGAACAGATTTCCACCTCCRTCATGCTCGTCAACGGAACCAACATCGATCGGAGCCTTGCTTCCTACGACCGCTTTCAGTGGCTGGACGAATTCGAACGACGGGAACTCCACGATCGATACGCAACTGTGAGCATGGAACTCCTGGCGGAGATCTCYATCGACAAACCGGGATACTTGCAGATCCTACAGAGCCACGGCGCCGGGTCTTCGGCGGCAACCTCTCGAAAAATCAGGCAGCAAGAAAAAGAGGRCTCTGCCGAACCGCTCTGGAACAGGCGTTGGAGGAACCGAAACGAGGATGCAGGAGACGAAGAGGAGGATCYGCAGCAATCTCAACTCGATCCCGACCAATCGCCCCSCGACCGTCTCTGGTCGACCGGCTTTTCTCTCACCAGTCCGAAGGGATTGATCAAGAGCGTCGACATCAGCGATGGGCACATTGATCAAATCAATCCTCGATCGGAGTCAATGATCACGTGGCCGAACGAGATTACGAAGGTACCCAACAATATGATCAAGCCGCAGCGGTACAAAACAACAACACAACAACAGCAACAGCAACAGCAATCACAACATGCCAGTATTCCGCAGGATGCACTGTTAGTTGCCGATGGGTTTTTGGTGCCGGGAAAGGATCGGGGGGGAATCTATCTCGTACAAAATCCGTCGCACAAGCAATCCGAATGGAGCATTCCGTTGACCGATCCGTTTTCGACCGATCGCTGGTTTTACCACAAAGCCGTCTGGGTGGATCTAACGGGCGACGGAAGGCAATCCATACTGACCGCACGAGCCAAACTGAGAAAGGTCGCTAGCACTACGAYGTCATCGGCTTCCACGAGTTCCRSGAGCAAAAAGAACAATCGAGACATATACCTGGAAGCAATGCAGGAARCAGAAATGGAAGAGAATCGTCCAAAGAACGGCCAGCTGATTTGGTTGGAAATGCCGAAACCGCACCACTACGATGTGGAAACGGGGACGCCCCTGGAAAAAGATGGAACCRCTTTTGATCCCTTTGATGCCCGCCACCTGCCTTGGAAAGAACGCATTCTAGCGACGGGACCAGACGTCGCGTTCGCGGTAGCAAACATGAATCCGGACGACGAAAACACMGTCGAGGTTCTGGCCAGCCAGTTTTTCGACGAAAAAGTCACCCTGCACTCGATTCGGCGGGGACCAAGCCCCGAGGTAATCTTTTCACGTGTCATCGACGACAGCCCGGGGGCCGCATTCGGTGGCATTCTCGTCGATCTGGAAGAGGGAGCAACTGATCTAGATGCTGCCGACGGAAGGCCTCGTGTGATCAATTCGGGAAGCACCATAAAGCCAGTGGGGRGCGAAGAAAACACTAACAGCTCGTTTTCCCATTTCCTCGTCACGAGCCATGAGTTCAATTCCAACAGCGTAGTGGAAAGCAGCAACAGCAACGATCCTATCGCCAACAACATGATGGCGACCGAGTACAAGGGAAGTGCGAACGGCATGAATAAGCAATCCTCGGAAAAAGTGCGCGGTGGATCCCTCCTTGCCTACAAGGTYCCCAGGRGATCGAAAGAYGCYTGGAAGACAGAGCCCTGGGTCCGAACCACCATCGCTTCGGGCTTTCAGGTCAAGCAGCAGATCTGGAACATGATTAATCCCGGTGCCCCTGGGTTTGCGTATGCCTTTCACGCCCACAGGGACGACGCGGCCCGGGGGAAGCGGCCCATGATTGCRGTCGCCGGCGATTGCGCGGAATCTGCCTACATTTTTCGCCCGCAACAGGCAGCGGAGGGGGCCGGAACCACCGACCCCCACGCCGAGTACAAGCTCATGTGCGAAATCAAATGCGGGGCCACCGTGGGGAGCATCGCCGTCGGGTACGGCGACCTGTGCTCGGCAGAACAAGAATCTGGATACGCGAAAATATACATTCCTTGCTTCGAGAAGGACAAGGTCCTCGTGTTTGCGCTTGGCAGTGGAGAGGAAGAGGACACGGTTGACTTTGACGACAGTGGATGGTGAGCGACCCGCTACYATGCCCTATCCTATGTAACGAACATACAAGTGTAATTTAGTGCACTAATATAGACATAGAAATACGAAAGAAAATATTCACTGATTGTGACATTTCAGGAAGAATTTGGAAGGGAAACAACTTGTGTTTTCGTATCTATCTAATGTTGTGATATGGAATGATGAGGATGTTTGTTGAAAACTCGTAACTTTTTGCAAATGCAATTACGATTTTGTTGGATCTATGGAACGAGGAAAAAATAAAGCACATGAGGTGATATAGTACTTCGTAATATTCTTTTCCAACCGTCCGGTACTGTATTACAAAACTTCGACGACAACGAAGTATTATTTTGGTATGATGTGATGTGTTGTACGAACTGTRCCGTACTCCTCTTCATTTTCATTACGGGATGCTTGTATTTTCCATTCAATTTTACTACGAATAATTACATCCTATCTCTACTCTTCCGGACATGTTTTGGTTGGTAAAAGTTTTTTCTCTCTTGTGTAATATCAGTGTCGCTTCAAGCTTGTTGTCTGCTCAGACCAGGGAAGCAGCAGYGGCGACAACAACGGCACCRGCGGCASTTGCCATTGCGGTGCTTGGCACTGCRCCGGTGTCTGCTGCCGGAGCCGCAAGATTGCCAAAGACRGCATCCRCGTTGTCCTCTCCCGAGAGAAGAACCTTGGTGCCAAAGGAGCCACGGGTGTCCTCCTGGTTGCCGCTTTCTTGGAGGTGGCGCTGCAAGGGATTGCCGCTGTTGGTCGAGAAGCTGGCGGTCAAACGGCGGCCTGAGTCCTCGTCTTCCACTTTGTAGGTCGGAGACAACAACCAATCCATGTAACCAAAATCATAGTTGCTGTCCTTGGTTCGATCTGGTAAACAACGTTTAACGGGTTGGGCGCTGTATGGGTCTTCACCAGAGCATGTACCGTCTGTTGTTTSTAACTCTGTTTCTAACTCGTCAATGCATCCACACGTATATTTGTGCACTATATTATCTCCTATGGAAACTTCCTCCGCGCACATCAAAGTGAAATATTTTTTACCCYGGTTTCTGCAACTGTCATTGCATATCTTCACCTCAGCTTCGGTCCCACCATCAGTCACATAAAACATTACTTTAGAAGTAAGGTCGTTGTGATACACGCATCCCACTTTCGGATAATATGTTGGCTTTTTGAATCTCAGCTCCACCGTGCCTGAGCACGTGATCGAAGCTTCATTGGGCGAAGAAACTCCAGTATAGTACTCGGGAGTCACTACGGTTTCAAAAGACGAAACACCGGCTCCCACACTGTCTCCACCGGACGTCATGTAATTTCTGGGATCAGTGGTGACGGTTGTCAGTGCCKTCTCCTGTCCATTTTCCACCACATCAATCTCGCCACATGTWACCTCTTCAAATCCAACCACGGCAACACGGCCAAACTCTGCAATSGCATCCTCGGTAGGACCAACACAGATGGAGAAGCTCTGGCCAATCTTGTAGGTGCGGTCTGGGTCTGCTGAATCAGATGGACCACACAGATAGGAGTCCAGTTCAATTGTCCTCTTTTGATTCTCTTCCAATGATTTCATGCTGGTGCCCACAACYGTAATGGCCTTCTCAAAAGTCTGGAATTTCCCTTCCCCATCGATGATCACCTTAATTGATGTATCAACAAAGGAGACATAAGTGTCTTCATGCTTCTTAGCAACCCGAGCACAAGCGTCAAAAGTACCAATATTCGGGAAGTCCCCATTTACCTCTCTCCAGACTGAAGAATCATGTAGGTTCATAGAGAATTGAGCTTTACCTAAGAACAACCGTGGAACAAAGGAAGAGTATGATGAGGATTAATTTCATGGCATCCACCAATCACAAACACCCTTCCAGAAAGCCACCCGTTGTCAATACTGGCCTAACGTACCAATACTTCCATCGCTTGTAACCCTCAATGCAAGGTAACTTTCATAATTTGATGCTACAGTAAAATCAGAGCTGAGGCCTTTATCGCCTTCCGCAATCTTGGTTCCTTCAGCACATGCCTCGCCGTCTGCAACTCCTGTAAACACCTCAATCATTGGGTGATCATCSCTAGTAGGWAAGCTCCCTTCAACGGTGAGAACAACAGTGATCGAATCRTCGTCTGTTGTAATCACACCAAAAGTAGGGCTCTCGCTAYCATTTCCGATTGGATGGAGCTCCCACTGTCCTACCTTAGGCAGATCTTCTCCTTGGACAAACCAAGGTGAATAGTTGAAGCTGAGGGCAGCRACRATGAGTTTCGAGAAGTTCATATTGGAACAGGAGGTTGATGTTTGCGTTTTGCTTTTTGAAAGCTTCGCTTTTTGGTTTTGTGAGGTGAAGGGTGGGAGGCAACGATGCTCCGTGTTTTCAATRTTTCGGTGGTRCTGTTCCACTCACAATGTGTCTAGTATCTTATTGTGTTCTMTTGCTCGCCAACAAATGTTCTATTGCTCGCCAACAAGCGCCGTTCTAGTTTTTCCGGCGCATGCCGCCCTATTTCATGTTCGTCACCTTATAATTTGGTATGTTGACTGTTTCCCCCATTGGGAGGGGGCCTAATCGCTACTCTAGCTGCAAACTCATGCGCCTGCCGTGTGTAGTGATACTGATACTGTTACTGATACTGATACTAATATCAATAATCTTTAGTATCGCAAAACTAATATTGATGTTTGTACTTAGCCAATGGAACGATCTGTAAACAAAAACGATGAGTTGACAAAAAAAATGTGTTGAGAAAGTGTTTCTGACTGGAAGCAAAAAATATCTTTACATTAGGGAATCTGTTCTATTTTTACTTCCAACGATGATATTGCTTATACCTCTCCTAGTACGTCATCAATCATTAGTATTAGTGCCCTATTTTTGAAATATTATTGGTCGTAGTGTGACTACGTGGTTGAGGATGTAGGCTATTTTGTTAGTGACGTGTAGTAAGAAAGAAATTGGTATCGGTTGTAAAATCAATTCAATAGTTTTGTACGATAGCCCGAGGTAACATACTGTACGTTACAACCGAAAATTTCTCACTGTGGTACGAAATACTAATATTGATAGGTACGAGTACCTGCACGGTACTGATGAGTGTTTTCCTTACCGTTATGAAACGATCTGTTTACTGTATGCTTCTAAGAATCTGTTGGTTAACGAGTCGAAAGAGTTTTATCTGAGCTACCGTTCCGGTACAAGAATACCGTTATAAATGCTTCCGAAAATCTGTCGTTGACAGACAAAAAATGAGTCACCTTCCTTGTTCTCCAACCGGCGGTCAGCGTTTAAAAAAATTGAAATCGAGTTGAACATAAATCTTCTTCTTGAATTACGATACGGTACCAGTTACAGTACTCGTACTCGTACAAGTTTTGTACAGTAAACAAATTCGGGCTATTTTCATATTTTCATAGGTACGGTAAGCGGGAACTGTACCGTACCGCAAAAGACCTAATTACATATCTTAGGGTTAAGGTCATTATTGAATACTGATTCGTGATACAGCGCTAACACCTTCACCTTCCACTGCCWCCGAAACAGACCAATTGCTCAAACCTTGCACTTATCCACCAACAGCTTCGACAAGCTACCGGTATGGTGATGGACAACCACTACGCATCACAAACCATTGGGCCACAATTGTAACACACAGCGGCAATGCCATCAGAAAAGGAGAAGTTCCCCGAGCAGGATCCCTATGATTTGCTGGGTGTCTCGTTCGACGCTTCCAATGCGGAAATCAGCAAGGCCTACCGCAAGCTGGCGCTGAAGCTCCACCCCGACAAGCAGCCACAGGGAAACCCGGCCCTGGCCGAAGAAGTCGCCAAGAAATTCCACGACATCAAGGAAGCCAGAACCTTTCTGCTGGACGAAGACTTTGCCCAGGCACGCCGCAAGTACGATGCCAAGCGCGAATCCGATCGCCTCCGCAAACAGACCGAGGCGCTGCGCGAGAAGAACATGAGCGAGCGGCGGAAGCGCCTCCGCGAGGAACTGAGGGAAAAAGAGGCAGCAGCTGCGCGCCGATCGCGAGGAAAAAAGGAGGAGCAGCGACGGAAAAAGGACGAGGACATTGTGAACCAGCTGCGAAAAGAGGGGAAACGAAAGCGGCAGGAATACGCCGAACGCGATGTCCAGAGGAAGGAAGACGAAGAGATGGAGAAGATGGTCCGCGAAAACGCCAGAGCAAAAAAACAACAGCAGCGAGATCTCCTAGAAGACCGACAAGTCCGGCTCAAGTGGGACCGAAAGAAAATGAGGCCCAGTCCCTCCGAGGACTCCCTGGCAACSCTTTTGTCGGACCAATTCGGATTGGTCGAGGGCATCGAACTGCTCGGCAGGAAGGGAAACCAGGCYCTCGCGACGTTTGCCGACCGGGCCAGCTGCAAGCCCTGCGTGGAGTTCTACGCTACCAGTCCGGTGATGAGGGCCAAGTACGTCGGGAGGCGCAGGGACGAGGAGGAAGACCGGGCGGAGCGCGAGCGCCTGGCGGAGCAGCAACGCGAAGGCGGYRATCTCGACAAAGGTCCGAGGAACGAGAGCCTGGAGGACCGTAGGGTCCGACAGGCCGCGGAGCGCGAGCGGCTCCTGCGGCAGCTGGAGGACGAGRACGAGAACGACTCTGCGGCAAAGCCGGGAGCACGCGCGTCGGATGGCGACAGAAGGGATGGGAAGACGACTCGGGGCCGGGRMCACACACCGACCARGGCATCGMWGTTTCCSCTTCCGCTTCCGAACACGGACGGGTACGACGGTCTTTCGCCGTTCGAAGTGTTGGAAAAGTTCGAAGGAAGCGTTTTGGGGAGTATATTCGGTGGGGACAACAACGATGGTACAGAAGCAATGGATGCAGAGGGTGCAACGCAATAAATACTGCTTTCTTGTAMTGCACAATWCTATACTCTTTTTATAGAAAAATCCACTAGCTACSATATRTARAGGTAGACCCTTGGAAGGGCTTCGTTKCAATGATCGCTGTCCACCGCAAGRCATTCGCTCTGGGTGAAGGAAAATCAGAATGGAAAGCTTCGCKCTGGTGCTTGGTAAATCTGCTATATTTGTCTTCGTATAACCGACGTCTTTGCACAAGCTCGCTTGCTACATTTATTGGAAGCCACGCAATGAAATCTCACGTTTGACCAACCTCTCAGTGCTCTCGGACATTCCCCCAAGGAAGCTCTGTGAACAATAGTGCGGCCTCGTCTGTTTTTTCCTTCGAAAGGCACGCACCACCATCCGTTGCGCCCTTCGTCCCTTGAGGCAGACACGGAGCTCCCCTTTTGGCAAGGTGGAGAGGCGCGAACGCCGTTGGAACGCAAGAATGCTTGTTTCGCGGGGCATTC